AATTTGAAAGCTTGCATGTTATTAGAGAGCACATTTATGGGCCACGGAGTACGTTACATGCCCCTGTGAGTATGTTAGGAAATGAAGGAAGGAAGGATAGTTTGGGATCTCACAATTTCACAAATAAGTTTTCGCATATGTGCTAAACTGATCAGAGGTGCTAAACAGTAAACTAGGCTTGGGCCGTATTCTTACTTAGCCTTACCTGGTCTTCCTACTTTGTCACAATTATGAGTGCAAAGCAGCTGGCGGTTTACAGCAGCAGTGCAATAACATTTGACGAGTTAATCAATGAAGACACAGTGATCAGTGGTTAGTGCCGAGTTGACAACTTATTTCTACTACCAGCAGACACTTTATAACTTTCAAACTATCAACCAACAATGATACAAACGAGACACCTCTTTGGTTACGACTAAAAACACCCGCACAACATCTAAAAATGGATAGTTGATCACTAACAACGTTGTTATATGCTGTTGCTGACGATGTTGATATTTTGTTTCCAGTTTTACTTACTCAATCGGAACTTAGTAGTTAGTATCGTTATCACTGATCGTAGTACTAGTAGTAATCATACCCTGTAGCATAACTCTGCGTGTGTATATTTCGCCTCAAACATTCAGCGCTGGTCACACCACACTGAGCGTAGAGATGCAGGGTAAAACCACAACTGCGACGGAAAAAGCCGAGGTTCTCCGAGCGCGAGGACTCCCACGACTAGCCGCGACAAAACAAGTGCTCTGCTAGTGCTGCCACCTGCTCAGTATTTTCAATGTGCGTGGAATAATGGTTTGTGATTAAACAGTTGCAACTGTGTCTAGGTCATATTATGTACAGTTAGGCCTATAAGTACATTCTACATATGCGCACATTTGGGTGTAGCTAGGGTAAGTTATATAATTAAAGTTTAATCAATTTGGAAATATAAAACCACGTAATTTCAGTGGTATCGTCGACGTCGTTTGCTGAAACTCGAACTAGTCCTATGACACAGTGTCAGTGAGTCATATGATTAGTACAGATTACATTGACATTGTTGTGACTTGTGTGACGGTGTCGTTGTGTCCGTGACTATCTTAGCAGTGCCAACTAGTGGCAGCCTCAAGCTGCGAGTTCAACCATATTTCTGCCCTTAAACTATTGTAAATTTGTATGTACCCCACGGCCACAGCCCGCATTGCTGCAGATCCCGATGAACACTGCCACTGGTTATTGTTTTAGGCGATGCGGATTGTAGGTTTTACGATACGGAACCCGACCAGGCTTAACAACTGTTCCGATGACTTTACCGATGCTTAACTTCTGGGCCCAAGCCTAGTTTAGCACCCCAGATTAGGTATGCGAGAACACATTTGCGGGGTCCCAAACTATCCTTGATCCAGCTTCTACATGTGACGTATACTCGTCAGTGCCAACAATCGACAGTAGATGTATTTGTATTTGAAATGCATACAATGAAGATTTAATAATAATAATAATAATAATAGACCCGGTGTTTGTTCTCAGTGTGGCCGATCCCACGCCGTGAGCCCACGTCGCCATGACGACGTCAAGCATGTCGAGTCTCCTCGCCGCCATGCAGATGACGGTGGCGCCCCCACCCGGGCCGACGACGACGCCCGACGACGCTCCCGCCGCCGCGTCGCTATCGGAGACCGACCCCGCGCGTTGCCCCGACGACGCGGAGATGCCGGTCGAGGCCAGTGGCGCCCCCTTGCGGCCGGATAACGCGTATGTGTTTGTGAACACGTGGGCGGAGTGCGAGGCAATCATCAGCCAACACAAGAAGGAGGTCGGGGTGGAATACAACGTCTATTCGAAGGACAGGAACTTTGGGAGAGACGGTACGACGGAGGGCGGTCCGGGAGAGGGGGAGGGGGAGGGGAAGGGTCAGGGTGGTCGTTGTAGGGAGAAATTGAGTAGAAAAGTGGAGAAATGTGGAGAAATAGTGTAGTTGAAATTCAGTAGAAATTGTACAACGTCAATTCAAAGTACAGGAACTTTGGGGGAGATACAGTGCGACGGAGGGAAGTGAGGGTAACGGGGAGAGGGTGGGTAGCGGGGGTGGGGGTTGGTAGCGGGGGAGGGGTGGGTAGCGGGGGAGGCTCAGGAAAGATTGTTGTGTCACGTTGTAGAGAGCAACTGCATAGAAAAGTGGAGAAATGTGGAGAAATAGTGTAGTTAAAAATGAGTAGAAATTCGAATGTCGGTACAAGTGTAAAGGGAATTATGCAAGTTTATTCACACAGGCAAATGATAATCGTTTAAGAGTTTATTTATGCAGGGCATGAAATTCAGATTTTTTTGCACTGGCCCAGAGGACCAGTAGCAGTAACTTTTTACCAGCCCTCACCATAATTTACCAGCCCTCGCAAATTTTCAAAAATAAAGATGAGACTGTTTCACTGACTCTTGCTTGTCCAAAAAATGTTCTAGTGTGCGGCATCGGATAGTACGTAGCTGTTGAACAGACTGTAAAAGTGTAATGCAGATCGTGAATGATGTCCGAAGTGTTTTTGTCAATGTTATGTTTCATGCTTGCATTCTCGATTTTCAAATTTGTAAAATGTTGATAAATTACGTCCGGCTCGGAGGGCCGGTGTTTTGCCAATGTTACTGGCTCTCCGAATAATTTGTCGGCATATGCCGGTGGGCCGGTGCTAATTTCGCGCTCTGTTTATGTATGCGTGTTTGCGTCGATCGATTGCTTGCAGACTGGAAGAAGAACGTGGGGAAGTGTCGGGTGCACTGGTGTCTGCGACGGAGGAAGGAGGACGGACAGAACCAGGACAGCACGCGTAAGACCGTCATCATCGACGGTGATGGCGTGCCCTTCCTCTACCTCGGCGAGAAGGTTCGTGGAAATACACGCGGAATAACGAGAAACCCACGCTTAACACGTGTATTAAAGGATTTAATTCTAAATCATTGCTAGTATTATTGAAGAATGGTCGTGGCCACTTGCGGAATAACGAAAATCCGCAATTAACACGTGTATTAAAATATTTATTTCGAAATCATTGCTAGTATTTTAATAAAGAAGATTTTTGGCCACACGTGAAATAACAAGAAACGCACTCTTAACACTTGTGTTAAAGGATTTATTTCTAAACCATTGCTAGTATTAATAAAGAAGGTACACTCACGTCTCTCCTCCCCCCCCCCCACCACCACCCGGCAGACATGTGTGAGTACAGCTTTTGCTGCTACTGCAATTAATGTTGTCATCTAATTAATCTATCTAATTAATAAATCTATTAATCTCCCCCTGCGCCTCCCGGCAGGCTTACACGTGCTGCTACTGCTGCTGCTGCTGCTGCTGCTGTTACTGCTGTTACTGCTGCTGCTGCTGCTGCTGCTGTTACTGCTGCTGCTGCTGCTGCTGCTGCTGCTGCTACTGCTGCTGCTGCTGCTACTGCTCCTGCTACTGCCATTTCTGCTGCTGCTGGTAGTGGTAGTGGTGGTGCTGCTCCTACTGCTACTGCTGTAACTACTACTGCTGCTGCTACCGCTACTGCTGTAGCTACTACTGCTGCTGGTAGTGGTAGTGGTGGTGCTGCTCCTACTGCTACTGCTGTAACTACTACTGCTGCTGCTACCGCTACTGCTGTAGCTACTACTGCTGCTGGTAGTGGTAGTGGTGGTGCTGCTCCTACTGCTACTGCTGTAACTACTACTGCTGCTGCTACCGCTACTGCTGTAGCTACTACTGCTGCTGGTAGTGGTAGTGGTGGTGCTGCTCCTACTGCTACTGCTGTAACTACTACTGCTGCTGCTACCGCTACTGCTGTAGCTACTACTGCTGCTGGTAGTGGTAGTGGTGCTGCTACTGCTACTGCTGTAACTACTACTGCTGCTGCTACCGCTACTGCTGTAGCTACTAC